TTTTGACCAACGTTAGAAAGTGTTCGTCATTATCCGAATGTTTTTTTGTGACATGCACAAAATTCTTATTCCGATTGGTTACTGAAAAGCTTGAAAAACATGAGTTTCGAAAATTAAATCTATAAAGAATAATTGATTTGCCACTTCCTTGATTCCATTTTCTCACGAAAACCCGCATCAGCTCAAAGTCTATTGTTCGAGAATAATATTCTAATGTAATGAACTATTTCAGTTTACTGACGACACTTCGATGGCTCTTTGCCTGGCTAATTCATTGTTGGCTCGTCATGGCTTTAACCCCTACGACCAGCTAGTTCGCTACAAATGGTGGTATAGACATGGCTATATGTCTTCTACAGGAGACTGTTTCGATATTGGTATGGCCACCAGACACTCTATAAGTGAATTCGAACGTCGCCAAAAACAATTCGCTAAACGTCATCATATTCCTTATGAGCAACTAGATCATCTTTCAGATTCTAGCCTAATTGAAGAATTCAATGTATTCTGTAGTGAAGAAGGCGTTGCGGGTAACGGAGCTCTGATGCGTCTAGCGCCTTTGCCTCTCTTTTTCTATAAGTATCCAAAACACGCTGTCGAATATTCTGGTATTAGCGGAAAGATCACTCATGGTGATGAGAAGGCCTATGATTCCTGTCGTTACTATGGTGCTCTTATAGTGGCAGCTATGCAGGGTGAAAACAAAAACGAGTTGCTGGCTAATGACTTTTACCTCAAGCATAAAGATTGGTTTAGCGGTAAACAACTCGTCGCAGACGTTATGAAGATTGCCAAGGGGTCATACAAACGAGAAGGCGGATATGATGGAGGTATTCGAGGAAAAGGATACATAGTTAGTGCTCTTGAAGCTGCTTTATGGGCGTTCTGGAGCGATGAAAACTCATTTGAAAAGGGTGCTCTTCTTGCTGTTAATCTTGGCGACGATACCGACACAACAGCCGCCATTTATGGACAATTAGCTGGCGCCTACTATGGCTACAACAATCTATCACCGACATGGCAAGACTTTGTTTATGCCAAAGATTATATGGCATGCTTGAGCAAGTGGATCGCCTTTGAAGCAGAGAAGTGGACTCCATGCCAAGAAGATAAGTGGAGTCCTGTAAAGCCTGCTACTCTGAGTGATGATTCTTCGAGTTCGAATTCTGAGCCGGGATCGAAGCCGGAGCCCGAGCCTCACCCGAACACCAAACCAGAAGAAATACAATGTCTTTCTTCTTTATCCCCAGCGTCACCTCTTATACCATCAACTGCGGAAACGCAAATGGGCAGTTTAGAAAATATTAATAATATTGAAACGGATTCTAAAATGAACGGTGATTTGAAGACAGAAGCGGTCTCATCCATATCGGGATGTATCCATACTAGTGAAAATAGCTCTCCTCTGTCTGAACAGTCAATTGTGCCATCAGCAACTGCAGACCAGTCACTAATTAATTTAGAACAGAAGACTGCCGTAACTACTGAAGAGGCAGGAGATATGAAGATAACGAAGACCTCAATCACAATGGAACTAGCTGGCGCTACCGAAAATAACTCTCCTCAACCTGACAAAAAAATTGTGTCATCATCAGCTGCACACCAGCAACCGATTTCTATAGAAGCTGACAATATTAAATTAATTTCTACAGAAGAAGAAAAGATGGAAGCAGAGACAACGTCATCCACATTGACACCTGATCACCATACCGAAAATAGTCAATCATGTCCTCCTCTCGCTAAGAAGTTTTGTCATGGGACAACTGATTCAACTTCGGAAGTGCCTTCAACATCAGCTAAGTCAAACCAATGTGTTGAAATGGCGCCTTCATCTGATTTCACCAATATTGCATCTGGACAAGACGCAGCAACAACAGATGCGAAATGAAAGAAAACAAATATTATGTAACTTCATTTTTTAAAACTTTTCTTGTGTTTTGTTGCTGAAAAGTAATTATTCTTGAACTTTTAATAATATATGATTTTAATAAAAGCTTTTTGTGATCTTTTGAGGATGTACACGAATGTACCCTCTAATTAAATGAGTTGTACGATACTGGTGTAGATGAACTTAGACAGTGTAGGTGTAAGTCTTTTATTTATCCCTTCACATCCAACTTTTCCCTCTTGTATCCACCTCTCAACACCCTATTTTCACTGTTACATGCCTACTCATAAGCACTAACATTTTACTTATAGGCAATCGTGTTCAAATGTCTTTGATTGTGTACTGTATTCATTTATACGAACAACTTACGTTCCTCCTATTCGCTAAAGTCCACTTGAATTTGTAACACACTTCTCTATTTCGTTATCGGATGCTCTGTACTCTACGTGATCTCTTGCCATGATCCTTCTTTCATGACGTATTCTCTGCTTATTACTCTTATCCCATGATTTCTGCTTGCTCTATACCACCGAATCTATCACAGTTATTCGACATCAGTTCCATTTAGCTTGTGAGTGTAAGTGTTGTATCTCTCACCACCCACACCCTTCTAACTGTATGTTTGCAGCCATTTAAATCGTCGATAGTAAAATCATTAGATATATTTAGTGTTTTACATGCACCTTCCAATACTTCACGATAAATTTTAGCAATTTCACAAGCCACTACAATCTTTTGAATTCTTCTTCAGCAACATTTTTATTATCACATTTATCTGAATGTGTTGCTTGTGCTTTTCGATAATATACTTTTTGAATACTTCTCATCGTACTATCAGGATTACATGCAAGTGTTTCAAGAGCTTAACAATAAAGTTTTCGTTGAGTATTTATTTCTTCATCTGCGCCATTGGAAAAGAATTTTTCTGTCAAGTATCTAAAAAGAAGATTTGTGCCATCGCCACATATCAAACCACTGACACCGGTGTCAAGGAAAACTAGTATCTCTGCTGGTCCAAGTGCTAAATCTAGTAAAGAGGCACAACCGGTCGCAGAAAAATCTGTAATAGCACCACCAGTAAATCCCAAGCCTACAGATACAGCATGTGTTGATATTAATTTTAAAAACTGACGACCTGTTATATCACCATGCCAAAATTTGAAAACTATACGTACCAAACTGGACAGCAAATATGACACCAGCAACATCAAAATCTGTATATTGAATTTCATAGCATACAATTTTGTCAAGAAGTTTGAAATTATCGAACTGTATAGATCGATTGATTAATTTTTGAAATTTTGGAGATAAACTTTTCGCACTGTTTATAGAAATATGTACCAGTTCATAAATACTAATCATAATTCCATCTCTTTTAATATACTATTTTAATCTTGATTTTGAGAGCCAATTAAAAGCATTTCGTGGTGATTCAAACACACCGCTATAATTTGATCTCCTGTAGAGTAATTGTAACTCTTGTTTGATATGTTCTTAATTGTAAATATTCGTTGCAGATTCATTATTATATCGTAACTGTCCGAAATTATCTATCATTCGTTTATGACCATTCGCTTGATCATATAACATATGCACTGTGACATATATTTTATTTCTTTGACATATTTCAAATCATCTTTAAATATCAATACTATGATGTTGAAATGCAATTGAAAGAGTTCATATACCCTCTAAAAATTGAGTAATAATATCAAAGATTTTTTTCATTTCCAGGATTATTTTTAAAACTTTTGTCTTCTTTATACCAGTAGTCACTCTTTGACAATAGAATTTTCAAAATTTCTTGTGCATATACATCATTCAGTTGATAACAAAGAAATCAAGAAATTTGATTTTGAAATCCATATATACATTTTTTAGGTTTTTCAAAATTGATTAGACTAAGCAAATGTAAACCCATTGGCTTTATATTTGATCGAAACAATGGTTCACTATCTAATTGACGTAATTCAATGTAGTAGTCATAGTGATATGGATCGACACTGTCGAACAATTCATTCCAATTTTGTTCTACTTTAATAACTTTCCAACGAGAATAAAACGATGTCACAGCTTCTTGCTCTCAATCCCAAGGATTCCAATATTTTAACGGTTAGTTTTGGTGTTCCAGATCTAGGTGGAACTTCCATAAATTAAAGCATTTAATCTTTGTCAGTTGTACTACTGCATATCTCTATAAAACCAATATTTTGTCCGACAATAAACTTCTCGAGATCGGATTTAATGTTCATTCCACGCTATGCAACGGTTACAACTGATGGTAAACTACGTAACCATGATTCTAGTAGATAGAATACAGATCGTACCCTAGAGAAAGTACTGAGTTCAGGGTACCCATGTACTGAGAAAGCCTTAGCAGGGTACCCAACACGGATACTTCGAAAATTCTCAGTAATGATACTGGTGTAGGTACTGTTTGGGATACCCATTAAAGTACATTCACTGAATAAGTACTTGTATGGATACCCAGATCTGTAACTTTACAGAGGAAAACTCGACAGGTTATCCTACATTTGTCACGTTCTGTGTGGTGACCATTCATTCACCGTTTTCTTTTTCACGCATGGCTCCATATAAATAACTCGATCAATCATAAGAAAATAATCTAATTTCATACCAATTTTTTCTAAATTATTTCTTGACTATTACTAGTTGAGGAAATGCCGATCTTGATCGTAGATTAGGATCGGACTACTCTGAAGTGGTCTGCGACCAACTCAAATCGGGTCAGATCCCAGTATTGTACCTGCTAAGTTTTCGGAATTGAAAAAATTAAATTGAATAAAGTCAAAAAAAATCTAGTAAATTGCTTCGAGAAAAAGAAAAATTTTGAGAAATCAAAGATCAGGTTCGATCCTGAACATACTGGAATTTTGGTAACAGGGTACTTAGAAATACTATGCAATAGTACCCATAACTGGGTATTTGATCATTACCTTTAAGTAACCAATCACTGTGCATTTTGTAGCAGGGTACTTGCTAAAGTACTACCTAGGTACCTGAAAGTACCTACAAGTACTTTGGTACCCAAAAGTTCCTGTGACATACTGGTAACGGGATACTTTTTCGGGTACCCTTAACTCAGTACATTCTCTAGGGATGCAAAGTAATTGTTGTTTTCGCTTTCATGAACTATTTGAGTCAGATGATTTTTGACAATAGAGAGAGCAAGGAATATAGTTTGATATTTTGTAAGACCTCAATTTCTAAAATCACATTTTTTTACAGGGATATTAACTTATTTTTGTTTGCAGATAAATTATGGTATAAATTCAAATTAATCAAAAAAGTTATTTTCGCTTAATGGTGCGACAAAACCATTATTAAAATATTGTCTAATTTTAATGAGGTTTTTCTTAAGAGTTTTAATACGTTCTAATGATACCACTGATATTTTCTTTTTTAAAGTATTCTATATTTCGTTTGAAGTTTCAATTAAATTCTTTGTTGTCGAAATTCCAGCTTCAGTTAAATAAGAAAAGTATCGTTTCCAATTCGGTGTAATTAATACTTCTATGAATACAGTTTGTTCAAAACAATAGTTTCGTATTTCATCGCTACTTTATGTTTAAAACAAAAATAATCACCAGTTTTGATGAGCTAAAAATATGAATTTATGTGTTTATATTCGCATTTCAATGATCAAAATGACTACTACACTAAAAAGCTTACGTAAATTAATGATCGTTTATTCAAAACCGAAACTTTATATGAGTCGCAATTTTTTGTAGTAAATAATCTGCTAATATCTTTCAATTATTCACGTAAAGTCAGTTTTTCCTTTCAAGTTTAATTATTGATAAGTTAAGAGATGATGTCACATTTATTTTACTTACTCTTCAAAGCAAGTTTTTTTCTACCTTTGTTATGAAATGAAGAGTAAAAGCTTAGTCATCGTCCTATTAAGCCTTAACTATATATGAATTTCTTTCTTTAACCTTTGATAGGTATAAGGCACACAAACGTAAGGGTGGTATTTTTACCTTTCGATTACTTTGAGAAAGGAAAGGAAAGTTGAATAGTTCAATGTCGGAATGTTTACAGAATTTGTAGCATGGGTTGCAAATAGGTAGAAAATCATTTGAATATCGGTAACTTGATTAACTCTTCTATCTCTTTTTCCACTGCAAATCATCTTCCTTACGTTGATATCTTTTCTGTGTGTTCTATCATTCTTTATTCGATCATTGTCATCTTTTTGTTCTACTTCCTTTAACATGTTTACTTCAAATCTTTCATTATTTTGTTTTTCTAATAGAGGAAAAATTTCAGTATTCTCTGAGATCGAATAGCAGTTCATTTTTTTTTGGCCTCTGTTTATGAAAAGAATGAATTAGAATGGCAAATTTCCTCTATTTCTTGTGTTAAGTGTTCGAGAAAAATTCGAGGTAAGATGAAAAGTAATTAACATTATTGTTCAACAGCTAAAACATCTTTTTGATGCGCAGACAACATCTTCTTTTTAGTAACTCTTCATTGTCCATTTTGAACTATATGAACAGAAAACGTCGTTCTACTTAGTCTTCAAAAGCATTTTGCTTCTCTACATACCTCAAGAAACAACATAAACAAACAAAATTTAAGAATAAAATATGAAAATTAACATTATGTTTCGTTTATTGATGATTTATCTACAATATATATGTTGTTTATCTTTTTTCGTTGTCGCTATTTACAAAAAGGACACTGATAATAAAAATTTAACTTCATTTTCACGAAAAATTGTTGATAATGGTGAGGCATAGAAAACATTATCGATGATGTTGTTTTATTAAGAATATAAGATACGATTAACTTTTTATCCTTCATCCACACTGATTCGAAATAACTAAACATTGAAAGATAGCGAGAGAAAGATACTAAAGAATCTGAGAAGAGAACAAGAGTGGATTGGTAGGGAGAGCAAAAAAAAGAACAGAAAGTGAAAAAATAGTAGATATCATACAAGACGAGTGACAACGGTGAAAAGGAAAAGAAAATGATTGAAGAATACTAAAATTCTATCTTTTAGTACTTCATCTTATAAACAGGTAGTATTTATTCATAGACTATTAATATTCGACATTTATCTGATTTAATAACTTTTCTTTCCGAAACAAAAGTGAAAGTGCCATCCCTACACATATCCCATAGTTGGCTGGCATAGAACTCAAAATGATAACAGTACTATTACTGTAGCTGACGCAATCATCGCTGTAGATTACGACGCTGAATTCAAGACGCGGTATCAATTCATTTTTTACTAGAGCATATAGCAAACTATGTGAAATTCTTTCATTGTAACATAATAGCTCTTCTATAAAAATTTCGTGGAATAGGTATAAATTCATCACATAGTACATGTTTACGTCATATTCTTTTATTCGATTATTTTTTAATAAAACTTTTTTTATTGTGAAGGGCACGGCAAAAAAATAAAAAGATTACAGCAACTTTATATTTACATAAATATTATTATTTTCATTTCTATTGGTATGATTTGGTTGATGAATATTCCATGAAACAAATCTATTTAAATTTTTAAATTGTTTATAAATATATTTTCAAGTTTTATTGAAGATTTCATTGAAAGAAATAGACATGATTAAAAATAAAGAAAATGATGTCGATTAAATAAAAGATGAATAATCGTGAATTATATCATGAGTTTTTAATGAAATAACTTGATAAGAATGAAAATCAACTTTGACGATGACAATGATGACAGAAAATAATAATATGAAGTGGAATTATTTATAAAACATTAAATAAAATTCTTTATTCAATGAATTAAAAACCAGTAAAAATAATCACCGCATGTAAATAATAAAATATTTTGAAGAAAATCTCATTTAATAAATCTTCAATATATGTATATAAAGTCATTTTTTAGAAATAAGCTGTTTAATTGAATTTCGTTCGAAAAAATAATGAATTAAATCATACAAATTATTTCGAGAGAATATCTTTCATACTCGACAATCAATCGTTTATAAATGAAATTAACAAAATTATTTATTTTCACATGTACAAGAAAGATATTAATAAAATCTAAAAACCTGTTGGCATCAACAAGAAATTTTGGGTTACATTATTGCATTTCATAAATAGACATCGGAATAGAACAACCTATGCATGTTAATATAGTTTGTTCGATATAAAATAAAAAATGCAAAATCGAATTACGTTTTCATTCTTATCGATATTC